GAAGTTAAGGTGATAGACAATGAAGACAGTTTTTATAGATGTACAACTTCTGTTATTCTGTGAAATTTTCGACATAGATTCTAACGTGACAACGACATTAGACTCTATGTCGAAACATCGCCGTTCACAGAATAAAAGAAGTTGTATATCCATATAAATTGTCATCATTCTTGATTGACAACGTGTCATCCTAACCCTACCGTTACTCATAACTTCAGTCACCTGTTACCCTTGTCCAATGGAGACTTATCACCCGTCTTGCTTTTGTATTTGATTATATTTAGGACACCGCCGTACAGCATTACGTACCAAGAGCGGCGTTTGCTTACAAAGCATCCATTCAGAGCCACGTCGAACATTATATTTGCTACGTGTATGTGTGAATCGAACTTTCTTCCACGTAACTGAGCCATATCTGAATATTCCTTAGGCGCTGACATTTTAAATCCGATATGTATAATTTGAGTTCTGTAGTTTGCCCACATTGCGTCATAATCCCATTGTATTCTGAAACCCACGAATCATGAATTAAAATTTCGTCCTCATTTTCCCTTGTGGCTTTCGTCTAATTCTTTTACTGAAGGAATACCAACACTTATGATTTGCTTTGTTCAAGATGATATCGTTTATAATTAAAGGGCATGTCGCACCTTCATCTTCATCTTGTAATTTTTTTATTAATACAAATGACTCTTTTCAGGTTTTCGTGCATTCACATTTCAGCCTAGTTGTTTCCTTGTGGCTTTCGTTTAATTCTTTTACTGAAAGAATACCGATTCTTTAATTTTGTTTTGTTCAAACTGATATCGTTTGTGATTAAAGGGAATGCGGCACCTTCATCTTATAATGGATGTTTTATGAATCAAATGGCTATTTTCAGGTTTATCTATTTTCACGACCTTCATCCTTGAAGGCTCACCACATTGTTTTTAAAAAGTGTAGTTGGCTTTGAATCAGTTTATCATTGTCAGTCATGGTATCACATTGGCTGGTGTTGCTGCGAAGGTGGCATTAAGAATATATCTGACACACTCCTTCTCTGGGCACATTGATTAAACATGTCACAGATCCGTGATAGAATTGATCTTCAGTAACTCATGGTTGTCGTAACAGGCGACTAACGGGATCGGGTTGTCAGGTTCGCTGACTTGGTCGACACATGTCATCGTATCCAAATTGCGTAGATCGATGCTAATGCTTTATTTCACGGGATTGGCTGGTCCAGAGTCGATTATTTACAGACTGCCGCAATATAGCTGGACTATTGCTGAGTGCGGCATAAAACTAAACTCACTCACTCAGTTACATGACATTATACAAATTCCACCATCAGTAACAGTTAATTAGGTTGTCAGTTGATATTTGAAGGGTTCGTGTTACGGTAACATCGTTTTGGACAATCTACGAATACGCACGGATATCTATTGGAGGGGGTGAGTAAGTGTGGTTTTAAGCCGATTTCAGCAATATTACAACAATAGCATGGCGGGGGACATCAGATATGGGATTGAGACACTGTGCCCACGTTGGGAATCGAATCCGGATTTTAGGCAGCAAACGCTCAACCCACTGGGCGGGATACCCCACCGCCCCTCTACCCCTTCATCACTTGGATGATAATAGTGTTAGAAACTACACCAAAGCGTCGCTCCCCCTGTAATAAAGAAGTTGTTCATCCATATATTGTTATCCTTCATTGAAGTGAGTGAGTTCAGTTTTACGCCCTTTTTCCAGAAATATTTCAGCAATATCACGTCGTGGGACATCAGATATGGGCTTTACACATCGTACCCATGTGGGTAATCGAACCCGGGTCTTCAGCGTCATGAGCGAACACTTTAACATCTAGGCTACCCCATCGCCCCTAGGTAAGGTGAAATGGTCTGACGTCGCCTTCAATATCACTGAATTCTTTACGTCTGCAGAGGCAGTGAGTGAGTGAGATAAGTTTTAAGCCGCTTTTAACAATATTGCCGCAATATCACGACGGGGGACACCAGAAATGGGCTTCACACATTGTACCCATGTGGCGAATCAAACCCTGGTCTTCGGCTACCAAGCCGTCCCTCCCGCAAAAGGTGAGGGCATCACCTACCAGATGGAAACTATCTCCAACACATGCAAAATCAAGTCAGTTGGTCTCATGACAAAACACGGGAACATATGGTGAAATACAATGTCTTCATGTTGGTATTCTGTCGTTAAACGTTTTGAAGGCATTACTTTCTGTACAAGGTCCACATCAATCTACAGTTTACAATCTACACTGTATGTGTGCTCACCTTAATAACTGTTCAGACATATTGTGACTGGACAAGTTGTATTCTTGCTAAAAACTGACATCGAAGAAGCGTATAATAACCAGCAATATATCACAAAATATTTTCAAACTAGTCGTAGAAAAAATAAAATACCTGAATATTGGATGACGATACAAAGTAAAATTGGGGCTATAGATCACCAGCAAGAAGGTATAGATTACCACAAGCAAGGTCAGGTCACCATACCGTGTGGACTTACTGTACTTCTTGCATGGCTTCCGAGCAAGATTAATACCTTTTCCCTCAGTTACTAGTGATTGTTGCGAGTTTAGCCAGAGATCAAAATCAAACAGATACTCTGCAGGTAAAATACAGATAGATAAGAGATGGAATGCGAAAGTGTCAAGGGAGTATTTATTACACCTGTTGTTAATAATGTGTTTGTGTTAATGTTTGTTGATGATGTACCAGCCCTTTCAGATACATGCAAACAGTTGCACAAAAAAATAATGCTCTTGAAAATATTCTGTCAGGAAACAGGTATGCAAGTTAATCTGAACAAAACTAAAGTGATTATTTCTAGGAATAGTGGTCCTTATCGCTCCTATGAGAAATGGTATTTTAATGGGGCAAAATTGAATGTGAAACGGTTATATTCTATTAGTACACCTGAACTTTTCTAGCCGAAAGCTCCAACCTGTCTAGCACAAGCCAGGAAGACGAAACACTCCGTTAATTTTGTCCGACCTTTTCAAAATATTTGATTCAGTGATAACACCTATGTTTTTGCTATGGCTCAGATATATGGGAAACGTCTTATCGTAAATTTATGGACTCGGTGCAACTTAAAGGTTTGTAAAATGATTCTTAAAATCAGTAAATCATCTTGTAATGTTATAGCTCCTGGCGAATGTGGCAGATTCCCTTTACAGCTAATATACATGACAGATGACAAATATTAGTGTAGACTAATTCAGCTCCCACATTATACACTACCATATCAAAGTTACGTTATGCTCAAAGCTCCAGACAGCAGTGGATGCACGACATGGATAACAAAGGTAAAGAGTATTCTGTTTATATGGCTTTGGTTTGTTTGGTTAAGCCATGATGTCGGTGATGTAAATATGTTTATAAATCTGTGTGGAGACAGGCTGTCTGATACTTTAGTTGGCTACTGGCAGTCCTCTGTTTATGAATCTTGGAACTGTTTCTATCATAAACGGTTCAATTCACTTCTTGATGTGCACAAGTATCGATCTTTTATGTGTTACTGAAATAAGCGTATTTGCATGTCTTTCTGATACAGAAAAAGGCATGTAAATTTACCGTAAATGTAAATCGAACTGACAACTTTATAATTGTGTGCAGTAATTATTATATCAGCAAATGAATTTATGACCTGTAGAATCAACTGTCTCTGTTAGGTGATTTTCATTTATGTTGATGTTCAAGAGATAATAAGGGGCGGTGGGGTAGACTAGTGGTTCAAGCGTCTGCTCGTCACACCGAAGACCCGGGCTGGATTCTCCACATGGGTACAATGTATGAAGCCCATTTCTGGTGTCCCCGCCGTGATACTGCTGGAATATTGCTAAAAGAGGCGTAAAACTAAACTCACTCAAGAGATAATACTTCCAAATTACTTCAAGAACCTATCTCAGTGAACAGGCGGGTATTGTTTGTATCGGTATTCAACACCTTAACGTATTTGGAAGTGGGAGAAATAAAGTTATTTTATTTTTAGGCCAACATATATGAACAACGAGAGACGGTAAGCGTGGAGTTCTGGAAACCTATTCTGCATCTGAATCCTCATATGGGATAGAAGATTGCTGAATTACCCAGTAATTCATTTTCAGTACGAAGATGGTGAAAGAAACAGTAAAACAATATCGGAGATTTACAACTTCAGAGGGAAAGTATTGAACACGTCTACGTGAATAATCAGCCTCCACAGAGCGGAAAAAGACACAATGGGGAGGAAAATTAGACAAATGGATCTCTTAAAATCTCGAGTGTTCGAGAAAAATTATAACCATGTCCCACTGTAAAGGTCGCACCCGCATCCACACAGCCACTAATGGTTTAGATCCTCTCCCTCTTTCATCACAGACGTGTTTTGCTGGGGACTTGGTGTTAAACAGATTCCCCTCGTGGTCACAACCCCATGTTAATAACTGAATTGAATGAGGTAAAGAGCAAGTAACTTGTAAACGCAGATTCTGGCGTTCCATGTTATTGTTCCCCAGGGTATCCATGTACACAGTGAATCCTCATTTGCACGATCGTCACAATGTTCTGCATTTCTAAAGTTAATCGTATTTGAAGATTCTGTCTGTATATTGTTTGACATGGTTAATTGAAAAGAACAGGCGGTGGCCAATCACGCTAATATGGCGAGTTTTCTTAATGGTGTTTAATACGTACATATTTCACCAAATGGAGACTGCTGACAATTTCGTTGCCTTCTCATTTACAGTCACTTTAAGTTTGTACCAACGGTAAGTGAACTGACTTGAGGGGCGCGGTGGGCGAGCTGGCTAAGGCGCCAGGCTACTGATCCAGCGAGCTTGGAGGTGCCGGGATCGAGCCCACCTGTGACCGGGTGTAAAAACCTTGGAGTCAACTTTGTCTGCGGACTCTTTCAGTGTACAATAAACCTAGTGTACAATCAACAACCCTGTGCACTTAAAAGAACCCACGAATTCGTTGGTATATGACCAGATGGTGGCCACATGAATACGTGCAAACACCTAGTTGCGGGTACAGCAACGTGCAGTGAACGTGTCCCAGTCCATCCAGCTGTGAATGGGTACCTCGTTAGGATGAGAAAGCCTCGGTGCGCCTAGTGGCAGCAAGAGTTGTATACTCCCCAGGGAGTTGAGATTGATAATACGATGCTCCGTTGAGATTGACATCCAATGATCGAGGGGAAAACATACCAGCGCTTGAGCATGCACTAGAGCATGGATATTTGCGTTATATAAATATCCTATAATAATAACTGACTAAGCGTTTCTTCTTATGACACTGTGTTTGTTTCATTAAAAATGGTAAATGTCAAAGAGAGGAATTAAGGTCTACAATTAACGGCCCCGGGAGACTATCCTTTGTCTTGAAATAAGTTTCTTTTAGAAGTATTAAATTGAATGAAGCTAAAGCTCAACTTTTTGAAATTGTTGTTTACCCACGATCGTCAGTCTGAACGGTTGGGTAAAAGAAAGAATATACCCTTGTTTGTGTTGTGGCAAAACAATAAAACAAACAATGATTATTATTGGACTGTGGGGCTTAACTTTGCAGTGTTCTTAACCCAGCAACTTTTGGAAATGTTTGTAATGAATTCTCTCAATTCAGTTGTTAAGTGCATACTTGCCTGGTCTCATACAACTATCCTATAACTCACTGATTCTTACCAGACAGGAGATTATTTAAATCAAGCCTTCATGAAAGTCTATGATCACTCCAGTACGTATGCATAGACACTTTAAAGGTTCGTATCTCGTACTTAGAAAGTCATTCAGACAGAATTCTATGTACGGGAGGTGTCAGGTCTGGGCACATCCAACACATGGCTCCAATCATCTTATGGATAGAGCTTAAATAAGATACTGCACAAGAACCGATGAGTGTAATATTTCTTCCATTTCTCGACGGTTATTTATCATTGGTGATTCCTTGTAGGATCCTGCAGTCGAAAACTGATTGAGTATGCATAGTATAGGTTGAAATCCGTTTTTTTTAGCTTTTTCGTCCACAAACGTGAATAGTACTAAAATACCATTTGTGATGGACTAGCCTTGCTATTTGCATGGATTGGTGTCTGGTTATAGTTGGTTTTCAGCAACCCACGTTTGACTAACGGGACCGGGTTGTCATGCTCGCAGACTTGGTTGATACATGTCTCCGTATGCCAGCTCGTGAAGATCCGGGTTAGACTTGATCTTCAGCAACCCATGCTTGTCGTAAGAGGCGACTAACGGGATCGGGTGGTCAGGCTCGCTGAGGTGGTTGATACATGTCATGGTATCCCAGTTGCATAGATCGATGCTCATGCAAAGTTCCCAAATATTATGATTTTCTATACCGAGCTATGGCGATATTGTGTTGATGCTATCACCATATTGTTTGTTTTTTATCATACTTGATTATTTACAGGCGATATTATTGGAATACTGACGTGGACCCTGCAGTGCTTCTGGTCAGTGTTGTGTGGTCTGCTCGCACAGTTTTGAATGCTGGAATTGGGTCGAGTATCAATAACAGCTGGATAAGGAGAAAGACCAGGATAATGCACAGAGGTCATGCCATATAAAGTGACAGGTCGCGCTAGGGTACTGGTTTAGTATGCTATCCAAGCTGACCCCATACTCTTTGTGATCGTTTACATAAACGAATACTGTGGCTTTAAAGTTCTGTAAGGATCGACATTATATAAATCATAAATATATTTGCCCAAACGATATAACATCAGTCAGCAGTCCTGCATCATGCAGCGGTGTTAGAACTTACACCTAAACGTCGTTCTCACTGTAATACAGACGTTCCTCATCCACTTATTGTCATCCTTATTTAATGATCCAACTTTTAAATGCCTCTCAGGGAAGTTATCAAAGTACTGTTTATGTTTTTAACAGTGTCGTTATAGCATAGTATAGCAGCTTTATGTGAAAGGTGACAACACGGCTACGGGAGTGATTAAGTTTATTGATGACTGGGTAATTAATAGCTGTGCTTATAGTTGTGTTTTCTTTAGATACACAATATCACTGAATCAGATAAATAAAACATGAACATGATAATTCATTTGACATGCATACAGCTGAACGAAAATGGCGAAAGCCGCGTCTTGAAGTTCATAGGCAACTCTACTGTCAGGTCAGAAACAATACAACCAAAGCAATATCCCAAGCTAAACGGGAGCACTGTCTGAATACCCTGCAGAATTCAAAACGAGACCCCAGAAAAATGTACAAGTTCATGAAAACACTGCTGGGCAAGAACAGCGATACTAGACTCCCTTCTTGTTCAGACCAGAAAGCCCTCGCTGAATCATTCAATGTCTTCTTCATAACCAAGATAGGAAATACACTCAAAACTGACTCACAAGCTCAACACAGTCTCATATCATCACATAATTTCAGTGGTGAACCACTTATTAACTTTCAACCGTTCTCCTCCAATGAGATTTCTGACCTCATAACTGCTTCCAAGCCTACAACGTGTGACCTTGACCCGATCCCAACAGCGATTCTGTTGCAGCTACTAGATCAGCTGCTTCCTGTTATAACAGAAATTGTCAACATGAGCCTGGAATCTGGAATATTTCCTTCTCACTTTAAACAGGCAGTTGTGAGACCTCACCTCAAAAAGCCGAATTTGGATCCTAATGACCCTAAAAACTTCCCACCTGTGTCCAACCTTTCCTTCTTGTCCAAGCTACTAGAAAGAGCTGTCAGCACCAGGCTAAAGGTCCATCTTTCTCTCAATGTTATCCTTGACAAGTTCCAATTTGCATACCGCCAATATTACAGCACCGAAACAGCCCTGATACGTGTCCTCAATGACCTACTGCCTGCACTTGATGATGGCTTCATGTCTTCCTTCGTCATGCTCGATCTGTCAGCGGCATTCGATACCATCGACCATGAAGTTTTCTAAGCGGTCTTTTGGTTTGAATCTGGTATCCGTGGTAACTGCCACAAGTGGTTTTCATCCTACTTGGAAGATCGCAGACAAGCAGTCATCATCGGCAATGAAAAACCCAATTTCGTCAAACAACACTGTGGTGTTCCACAAGGATCTGTTTTAGGTCCGATACTCTTCACGCTGTACATGGCAAATCTGGCTAACATGATCCAACACTTCAAGCTTCTTCACCATGGGTATGCTGACGATACACATATGATGGACAAATTCAAACTCAAGAACCTTCAGGAGTCCTTCCACCGCATATCTGATTGTACAGCAAGAACTAAGTCATGGATGACAGCAAATAAGCTCAAACTGAATGGAGAAAAAACAGAGATGCTGCTGATTGGCACTAGGCAACAGTTGGCCAGAGTAGAAGAACAATCAATTCTGATAGCGGATACGGAAATAGTTCTTAGTGACCCCCTAAAAGATCTGGAAGTATATCTGGACTCACACCTCTCCATTGAGAAACAGGTTACCCACATCAGTCGAACCTGTTACTATCATCTCCGATCCATCAGCAACATCCGACATTTAATAACCGCAGAAGCTGCAAAAGTACTTACCCATGGTCTAATAACATCAAGACTAGATTACTGCAACAGTTTGCTTCAGGGGATCAGTGGAAAACTGCTATCTAAGCTACAGGTGTTGGAAAATTCTGCAGCACGGGTCATCACAAGACACCAAGACATGTGCACATGACACCAGTGCTCCGAGACCTCCACTGGTTGCCAGTAAAAGCTAGAATATACACTAAACGCCAAAAGAAACGTTACCCTCCTTCCTTAATGACGGAGGTACCTATCTTGAGCTGGCGTTGTGATGCGTGGACGTCTACTTCTTGGTCTGTCTACAGTGACCCCGATCTGTCTGAAGCCCTGAATAAGTCTTATAACCATGATACGTTGGCATCCGAGGGCGTTGGCAACAACATTGTATGTCGACCCCATCTGCACCATCCCAATGGCTCTTTCTCTCTCTTCAGCTGTTAATCGTGACATATATCTCGTACTTGTGTATCATAACATGTATTCTAGGCTCTTTTCATACACCATAGAATCATTCTACATGTGAAATGGATGCAAATACTGGTTGAATATTGCTGCGTTTTGGCGATTGATATTGCTATGTGTAAACAGAAAATGGGAAAATGTTACTTTGCAAGCAAAAATTGTAACAAAGACAATTTTAGATGTTCCTAAGCATTTTTTCACAATATCAAAGACACATTTTACTTGCTTTCACTAATGCAATCAGCAGAAAATGTTTTAAATGACTAAAAACATAGGAATGATTATTTTACAATTATACACACTCTACAACAGTTGTTTCTTGTTTTAATAGTTGAAAACTGGTGACTTTGAATGGTTTATCATTGTTCCAAAGTAGAATTATATTTCAACCTTTCTTTTGGACATCAAAATCACTGTTATTGGTTTATTTCGGCATGGGCGAATATAGGACAATATAACTCTTCCGAAAAAGATGCATTTCACCTAAATATGAATGCATTTGAGAATGTTTTTTTTCGTGATTTGCATAAAGCTGTGTTGTTAAGCTTTCTCGTAAACCAATACCTTCTAACATATCTTTGATAGTTTTGCAATAATTCATAAAGGTAGGAGGGTAATCGTCTCTTTTGGCGTTTAGTGTAGTTCAAGCTTCTCTGTATCACCTATAGCTAACACCAGCCCTGACTATCTATTTGAACTCTTGACTCCACACACTCCAGCACGTAAACTCCGATCAAGTGACGAAAATCTCCTAAATGTTCCTAAATATCGACTGAAAACATTTGGCTCCAGATCCTTCTACAGCACTGCCCCTATCCTCTGGAACTCACTTCCATTAGATTTGAAACTGTGTCCAACCTTTGTGAAATTCAAATTAAGACTAAAGACCCATATGTTCTCCAACAATCAAAGTGACATTTAAATCCAGTCAACACTCCCTGACTTTTATCTTTATACAATCCCCTTGTAGCGCCTTGAACAGGCATCAAAAATGCACATTTATTATTTATTATGCATCATACACTTTAGCTTAAGTTACCCGTGATGGTCCGGGTTAGGATATTGATCTTCAGTAACCCATGCTTGTCGTAAGAGGCGACTAACGGGATCGGGTGGTCAGGCTCGCTGACTTGGTTGACACATGTCATCGGTTCCCAATTGCGCAGATCAATGCTCATGCTGTTGATCACTGGATTATCTGGTCCAGACTCGCTTATTTACAGACTGCCGCCATATACATGTAGCTGGAATACTACTGAGTGCGGCGTAAAACTAAACTCACTTACTCACTTTAGCCTAAGTAAAATATGAACACTGTAAATACTGCTTCACTGCATGTAAATATAATGCTGGCATTACTTCACAATGCTGGCAATCTAGATAAAAGAACTTGAATAACAGCATTGCATCATTAATAAATATGGGCAGAGTCTGCAGTGCATCGTGGTGTGAAGAGTATAATAAAAATGAATATATTTTAACAATGTACTTGGACGGACAAATTGATATGTGGTATACAAGCAGAATGGGTAATACTCTTCGACTGCATTCTGATTTAAGTATTTTCTGTTCGCTGTTGAACGTTATGGGTCTTCCATTCGCAGTGAGTTTATTATGGAATTAGCATCGGAACTAATTCTACTTATTAACTACATTCAGGAGTAACATATGTTATATTTGGGATTACACTTTCTTAGTAAAGTACAAATTCCAGTACTTTTTTTAGTTGAGTCCCATCCGGGATTCGAACCCACGTCCTCAGAGTCAGGAACCTAATCGCCAGACACAAAGTCGGCCGTCTAACACACTCAGCCAACGATGCTTCACCTTGATTTGATGGGATGGGACTCAACTCAAAAAGTACTCAAATGTTACCCTTCTATTTACGTCAAGCGCGATTCAAGAATGCTCCAGCTTCCAAGTTTTCAACATTTGAGGTACAATGTATGCTCAGTTTTCGAAGATCTCAAAGATTTTAAAGTGCGTCTGTAGCCCAAAAGATGAACGGGGTAAAACATTCAAGACTTTTTAAGAATGTTTAGGAAGACAATCGGAGGCCATTTTCAAACTGGACGCATTAGTGCCAAACGTGACGTTTATTGCAATTCCCTGTCTTAATACGTAACATTGTGTGCACGTGTTTCTTTTCAGGTGAACAGCTCACTCGACTTTATATGTGTTTGTAATGGGTGGCACTGGTGTGCATGATACCCTCGCCTTTTCGCGAAGACTTTTTATCGTCAAAATGTGACAGTGATTCGTAGACGTGCAGTCGTGCGGCAATTGGAATCGTACAATGTATTCTCTTTTTAGCAGTTTTTTTATGATGATGGAAAGGGTATTATCTCTTTTATTGCTCAGAATATATTGCTCAATAAAACGTATCTATATTGTAAATAAGGCTTAATCCAAACATAAAAGATTCATCCAACAGACATCCCGCTGACATTTGGTGCAGTAGGCTTAATAAAAACCAGTCACATACTAGCATGACCTCAGAAATATGAAACCTGTAAAGATTCAATATATATTTCATGTGAGCTTTATGTCGCGCAAGAAACTGCCGGACAAAGGAACGTATATATCCATATCGCGGTCGGAAATGAAGAAAAACTCCAAAAACTTGACAAAACAACCCAACAAAAAACAACAACAAACCAATAACAAAATGGTCGTTAGATGGTGATGTATTTGTTACGCGTATCATGACGATTGCAGTTTGGAGCTCGTGTTTCGATTCCCAGTCTGCTATCGTTGCTATGGTGTTTGGTTCCCATTTTAAGGGTATACATGTATTTACGTGTAGTTATACCAGAATACATTTGACACTCTTTTCAGTAAACCTAAAGCGTTAGCTCAAAGGGACTTTCTGATTTATTATGGCAAACACCGGTTACCATACCCGTCTAAAGGTGATGAATAACACATGCTCTCGATGAAGTCGGAAGCACACACACACGCACGGACGCACGCACACACACATAAGCATTAACGTCGATGTAGGAATCTAAGTTCACCTCACCTCACCATTCCATCCTCTAACTAACTTCCAAAACAACTTCCAAAAGTGGATGTAATGCCTCCTTTGTGGCTTGTCTGTTGTGTGTCGCGACGGTGTCATTATTTTGTTTTTTTTTATGAAGCATATACTTGATAATAACCCACCGCATGGTCCTATCTAACTGCATATAGAAATTAATGTCTGGCACAGTTGTACACCGTTTTCCAATATTCAATCTTTCTTTACATCTTCCTGGTTGTGGAATTGAAACCCTATGTCCATTCTGTGTAAACATATGTTTCTGAGATAGTTCTTACAGTTTTGTTGTACCACTTTGTCTCCAGTTCACACAATAACATATATAATGTCAGTGCCAGTCTTGGCTGGTCTCAAAAGCAAATTCCGTTTGTTGTAATGGGAAAAATAGCTTTGAAAATGACATTATTGGATCGTAAATCAGTGATGGCACCTGGTGTTCGCCCAAAGGGTAAGCATGCAACACCAGCCGTTCACAATATTTGCCCCAAAGATGGAACTATTTTTCCTGATCCTGCACAGCAGTATTTCTGCCATGCGACTTCGGCCTTTAAAGATACCGGACAATCAAGTGATCGATGAACCGGAAAAAACACCCACCATTTAGTTACTTATGATAAAATGATAGTTTTCACAACTCCCTACACACTAGACTTTTATAACGGAGAGTGGCGGGGGCTTCCGGTAAAGCAGGACATGATGTTTCCTTTTAACACGATTTCCACTGATCCATTCACGCATTGTCATTCCTCGTTTTTACACCCAGTAGAATCTGTTGCAGTGAAACTCTGAGGCTGATCATTCTCTGACTTGCCTTTTGAAGAATGCACACACTAAATCAGGTTAATTATCTAATGGTAGCATAATGCCAAAGCAAGCACAAACCCGGTCAAAACTGTCAATAACAATTATGTGTTCTAAAACAAGAAGGTAAGCCAACAGAACATGCAAAGTGTTGTTGATCCCTGGATACCCTGGCATCTTGTTACGTAAACGCGTACCCCTGAATGTGCCCACTCTCCTCACTCAGCCCTGATATGTGGGCGGACGTGATATACATCCACGTAGGTAAATCACTTGAAGAGCTATTGTACAATAACACCAAGTTTCTAAGCCGGTTGTTTTAAAAACATTTAAATCCTCACAGACCATACATCAAAATACAATACCTATGGTGGCATTTCATTTAAGGCATTAACGAATTACCCTTTCACGATGCACATAAAACTTACTTCGAAATTCCCCATTTGATCGCAAAATGTTGGGAATCTGAATATACTTGTGCATAATTTACAGACCGGCGTCAGTTGGAAGTGGTTATAGCATTAATCAGAGATATGAGAAGAAGTAATTGCGGGCAGTTTTGAATATGTGGTTCACACACGCACCTGTTGACGGCGCTCTCTCCTCCAGTTCTCCTTGCTGGTGTCAGGAGACGGAAGACAGCAACGTGTCTGTGACACTGGAAGACCAAGTTAGACAGCATGTATATGAAGATGATTTAAGGAATTTTGCAGCTGACTTTTACCGTGAAATAACACTGTTAGATTCATAGGTTTTCATGATATAAAACTAGTCATTACTATTATTTCCTGACACGTGAATGAATCAAACAATTGAATAATATCTTTCAGGAAGTTAGTTAATTGCACATGAATAAGTATCACAGGGGTACGAGTGAGTGAGTGAGTTAATATTTAACGTCACATCGGCAATACTTCAGCCATATCATGACGAGAACATTTGATATTTAAATATAATATATGTATATTATAAAACACCTGCCGACGAAGGACAGTAAAACAACTAGAGTATCAAAGATATACATGTAAAACTAGTAATTGAATCTAAAACATTTTAACTATAGGGGACAACACAATATAACAATGGGCTATAGATCGCCACCAACTGAAGGTAGATCACCATGCTAGGAGCCATGGGGACTTACATTACTTTTGCTACCTGCATGGATCCTAGCTGGATTTACACCATCCCTTCATCTGCTGGTGATTGTAGGAAAATTTAGCCAACAGTTAAAATAACAAAAATACTACGTTTAAAATGTGATAATTTATATTTGACTTTGAAAGTTTTGGGACTTACGTACCCTCTCAGGAGGACAATAATTTTACGCTACGTCAACCCCCTTTGAGGGTACAGCCACTAACAATCTCAGTGACTAATTTAAACTACCAATAATAAAATATTTATTTATTTACAAATCAGTTAACAAATCTAATTCTTTTAAAAATTCAACTATTAAATGATAATTAACATTATAAAAAAGATCCTTCAATGTTTTGACATTAAAATACTTATCCCTTGTGATGGAATATTCAACACAGTCAAGCAGGACATGCTTGACCGTGATTCGTTCATCACAAGGGATACAAAACGGAGGATCATGGGTACTCATGGGTATTTCTTGTGTGGCCAAATACGACCTCTTCAAATCTGGACTGACAACCCAAGTAGGTGTAACCGATAGTTGGTTTGATTGCATGTAATTTATTGATACCTACTTGGGCATCCCACTTCTTTTGCATCAGATCGCGGATGTATGTTCTAATGCTGGCTTTATAATCAGGGTATAGGATCAGAAGTGGTGTCACAGATTTGTTGAGTGCTGCCTTGGCAGCAAAATCGGCCATTATATTCCCAAAAATGCCAACGTGGCTGGGTAGCCAACAGAGGACGATGTCGTATTGACCAGTTGCAAGATCATTATATAATTCTATAATTTCTATTAAAAGTGGATGTTTACAAGAAATATTTTTAATGGCCTGAAGGCAAGAAAGAGAGTCTGAAAATATGATATATTGTTTATATTTAGGGTGTCTATTTATATATTTAAGAGCTGTTAGTATGGGGTACGAATAGCTGTTTGGACAATAAGTTTTAAAAATGCAAATGTAGACTTTTGCAATCATATATTTATTTTTTAACATATAATTCAAACTTGACCGAAATCGGTAAAGAAATAAATTCTACCGCAACACGATGGTATAAAATACACTAAGGGTGACACTTCCGACACTTAAACCTGATCAAAAACCGGGCAGCCCGTCTATGTTAACGTGTGGTTCAAGCAAACCTCACGTCTCTGACAAAAACAACTGTGTTGAGCTTGTAGGCCATTCTTTTACCTTTCTGTTCATCGTATTTAATTTGCATTTCATATTTGACCACTGACCCTCGCACTAGCGCTAACCTCTGCTTTGAACAAACGGTAAACATCGACAGTTTTGGTAAATCTCTCAGTGACTCGGAAACAGAAAACGGCTCTCAGTACACAAGTGCGATTATTGCGCAGGAAATATGAGAATCTCTGAACAAACAAAACAATATAGTCATAGACTAGATCAATTACTAGACACACACTGAATCATAAATGCTGCGATTGTTTGAATTATTATGTGTTATTGTTAACTTTACATGAAGGGATTGAGTTTATGTCGAATTAGCATTATTTCAGTCACATACTGACGAGTCCAAGTTATAACAGCACGTCATATAAATGTAACTACACTCTTCAAAAATTAAACGGGTAGGTGATTTTGAGAATACTGGACACATGTAGATGCGGCAAAAAAAACCCCAAACAAATGTATAATTCTTTCAAAAACGCCACCTTTGAGTGATTGTAAACAGCTTCAGCGACAAAACGCGGCAAAGTTAACTTTTCTCCTTGTTTTAGAAGCGTTTAAGATATATTCACCAAAACGTCACCAAGAAAACATGCAAAGCAAAATGCATGTGCAAGTAAGCTGAAAACCATGCGGTTTCCATCACTATATAAAGGCAAACGCTTAATTTTGTCATTCTTGTTTGTCTGGAAAAGGGAATTCATCATGCCATGACTGAGTGCCACCAATCGAAACATCGCCATATGCCGGCTTGAAGCTGGGGAGTCGCAGTCTGCAGTTGCCGGACATTTCAACGTTCATCAGAGCACCATATGTCGCCTTTGGGATCGTTTCCTGCAGACCAATTCCACACAAGATCGCTCGAAAAGCGGCCGACCAAGAGTTACCACCCAAGCCCAGGACCGCTACATCCGGGTTGCTCACTTGCGTCATCGTCTTGTCACAACCGTGGAGACTGCACAACGCATCCCTGGTTTGAAAAGAATTTCCGACCAAACTGTCAGGAATCGATTGCATGAAGTAGGGATTCAACCAGAAAGGCCACTTGTCGCCCCTGTTTTGAGAGACTTCTTTCGACGCAATGACTTGCGATGGTGTCGTCCGGAACTGGAACCTTTGAAAGTGGAATCACGATTTTCTTCTTTACTGGCGAAATGGAAAACAGCGTGTTTACCGTCGGAGAAATGAACCTTTTGCCCCTAATTGTATTCGACAGGTCGACAGTTTCGATGGAGGCAGTGTCATGGTGTGGGGTCAGATATTCAGCACACAAAAATCTGATTAAGTGGTGGTTCGACAGCAAATCGGTACAACAACGAAGTCCTTCACGCCACATGCCCCCAATTATGGACCGACAGAGGGAGTTGTTCCAGCATGACAACGCTACTTCACATACAGCACGCGTCACGGTCCGCTACCTTGCTAATTCTAACGTCAAGGTCTTGCCGTAGCCATCCCGAACACCAGATCTAAACCCGATAGAACACCTATTGGATGTACACGACAGACGTGTACGTCAACGTCAAAACACACCTCAGACACTTCCACAACTGGCCATCGCCTTGCAGGAAGAGTGGGGAAGCATTCCGCAAGAGCGTTTTCGTCACCTTATCCAGTCTGTGCCGAGACGCCATCTTGTGGACTCAGATGAACAGAAACATAACGATAAAGACTGCTGTTGTGTTGGCGAACTCTTTGTCTATAGAGGTGTGAATTGTGCACCTTTTTACGATTGAAATTACATGAACAAATTGCTCTAACTATAACGCAATAAATTCTTCTAAAAATGGCTATGTATTTACGTTTTTGAAGAGTGTCTGTCTGGGAGGGTTCAATACACTTAACCTATCATCATTCCTTCTTTTCGCCTGCAGGTTGATTACATAACTCAGAATACATGTCCCGCTGGCTGAAGGCCAATGTGTATATTTTGTGTTTATGGTTCTGAAAAAGAGTGTATGATAACATTTGAGTTATCACACCTGTTTACTCAATGGCACCTTTTACCTGAGTGGCGAGTGCAGTCAAGGAAAAGCAGGTAAATTGTACATGTGCTGGCGTTTTACGCCACACTCAGTAATATCCCAGCTATATGGCGGAGGTATGTAAATAAAACGAGTCTGGACCAGACAATCCAGTAATCAACATCATGAGCATCGATCTGCACAATTGGGAACCGATGACATGTGTCAACCAAGACAGCGAGCCTCACCACCCGATCCCGTTAGTCGCCTCTTACGACAAGCATGGGTTACTGAAGATCAATTCTAACCCGGACCTTCACGGGTCCCAGACACAAAGAAGGTAGAATAACCAGTTTTATCACGATCTTACCTTCAGTATGATGAAGCAATATGTTAACATTGCTTTCTTTATTCGTTCTAACGTTTTATCATCATGTTCCATCTCCTACAGGCCGCCATGCTGGCTGAATGTCCATAGATAATTTTATGTTTGTGTTTATGGTTCTGAGAAAGGACATGCCTTCTGCTTTGTCGACAGAATAGATTTAAGTCTCCTGTTTGGTCAATTCGCACACAAGAAGCCCTTTGTCATTTCAAACCTCGTTGCCCACTGGCACCTTTTTGATTGAGTGACGGTTACACTGTGTAAGCAGGACTTGAATAACCTTTGGACGAACACCTGGTGATATCACAGGATTTCCGTGATCCATTCATATAATTTCTGAACGATTTTGATTTTACAGCCAATGGAATCACTTTCGGAAGACTCCAGAGACTGGTTGTTCTCAGACACAATTGTCCAAAGTGATTAAAATAAATGATGAAATAAACGCAAACCCCAACTGAATTACACTTTCGCGCTGTACATAAATATTATTTTGAATGTCTCCATGTGACTGTAAAATCAACTTGTTGAAACGTGATAATACCTGTGTATGATTGACAGAACGGCGTCAATCGGAAGTCGCTAGGACATAAATCGACGGGACAAGGAGGAGTAATCTTGATCAGTGTTTATATAAGTGGTTCACACACGCACCTGTTTGGCGCTTTCTCATTCATTTCTCCTTGATGATGACAGGAGACGAAGATGACAACTTGTTGAAGGCACTGGAAAGCAGATCCTTAGACGGCTTTTATTTGTACATGCAGATAATTACAAAGCTGTCCTGTGTCAAATGATAGTAGCTGATTTCTGTAGTATAATTGTATTCACATGTCAGGTTTTCCTTAGATTTATATGGAATGTGTGTGAGACCATGGGATGATTAACTAGCATCATTTACCGTCATTTCGACACATCCACAAGGCTACTACGGAACAATGGACTACGAGCTTTCCGGAAGCTAGTTTGGGTATTAAATCCAAACAAGGGGGATCATCTGCATTGTCTTCACAACCGAAATACAGCTCAGCTTACAGTTGTTTACCAGCGGTCTGGTTGCTAGATCGTGATTCCGGCAGGTACAAGGTTTTCATTACGTTTATTTCACGTCGGCTTTACAATTATTTCATGACAGCTGCTTGAATCAAACAATAGATTTCGTCAGTAAATATGAACCAATCTCACTCACTGACTCACTTTGTAGACAGCAAAGGTAGGAGCTGAAATTTCATTTCCCTCAATGTGATTAAAATAGTTTTAAATAAACTGAAAACGATATTGGGTTTATAGGTCTCCCATCTTAATGTGGAAATCAGCCCCTGAAAATTAATAATGGTTAAGATGCGTTTATTTGTTTTGTCTAAACGTGTAGTTAGTTAAAGCTCTAAAAAGTAAAAAATATTACTATGTTATTTATGCAGTAAATCAAATAGCCATTATTACTGAAGAAACAAAGAAAACAATTCGTAATTATTGACATGGTTTTTACATTTGGCGGCTGGGCTTCCTGCTCCTCAGAAATTCAAAGATGAATGCCAGAGAATAACCAGTCTCGGGTGTCCGTAGCAGATGCAATTGGGTGTCAGTGGCAAAATAGTGATGAAACCATACATAACACAACTCTTGAAAAGGCAAGAGCATTCAGAGACTTTATACGTCCTGTTGTTTGATAAAATGGCGAAGACTTGGAATGAGATCCGATGACAAAAATCACCTATCTGTAGCTTAAAGGGCCAAACACACAGTGGTTGTAAATGGTGTGAGACAGGAGAG